TCAGTGTGTTAGACTGACGTGATAACCAACTACACCACGACACCAGATATTTAACGGTTGTGTCACAAAACTTGTATCAAGAAATATTTATAACCTTTCGTTTTTAAATGTGACATCTTATTATGATTTATAGTAAAAATAGTAAAATTAAAATTGTATAAATATTTTATTAAATAAAAAATATTTTTTTTCCAAAATAATCTTCTATGTAAGAATTAAAAAAATTGCTAAAAATATCTAAAATAAAAAATATTGTTTTTCCAAAATAATCTTATACGTTAGAATCATTAATAAAAATATGTAAAACTGAACATCTTCAATATTTTAATGGAAAGAAAGTAAAGTATCAACTCACCATGGAAAATATTTTGGTGAAATCATTGGGAAATTTGATTTTTTTTTTTACAAAATTTGAGTAAAAGTAAATTTTTTTCTAAAAGTAAATAGTTTTCCTTAAGTGAAAAGTCTTACTATGTTCTCTTTCTTCAAATCATAAGTAATGTATAAAAAAGTAACCATAAATAAAATTTTTAAATAGAAAGTGATATTATTTTTTTATAATTTATTTTAATATATACTTTTTTTCTGTATACTTATTGACCTATTGTAAATAATACATTGTTAATTTTAAATTTTTTATTTTTTATTTTCGTTTGTGAATATCTTTAGTTTGAAAGTTTAATAGATTGTCTAAATATGTAAGTTCCATGAAATAGAATGATGACGAGCTGCACTTGAAGACATGGATGTGATTCATAGCAGTTTCAGAGTATCCAATCCTCACTTTAATGTGTCTTTTGATTCTGTGCTTCCTCAATAGAATGCACACATTGCAATTCTTAATTAATTATGAAATTATGTCTTAATTTGTTTCAATTTTTTTAGGCCTTGAGCTACACATACTCTTCAACTAGTGAGTTAGATACATGCTTTTGGCATGTCATTTTTCACTTGATCATGAAGTATCATATGTTGTAACAGTTTCTTCACTCTCAAATTGTCAACAAATTCCCACAAACATAAAAGAGGAATCTCATGAATGTTCTGTCCATTTTCTTTCATGCTTATATTCTTGTTGGTTCTCAAGGGTCTAGACTGAGTAGTTTGAAGAAGGAAAAAAATAGAAAATTAATCTAAAAACATGAATGGAATATGAGAGTTGTTATTAATTTTGAGTGTATGAGAAACTTAGACAAATATGTGTAGGAGAAAGTTTGTATTTTTTGTTAAAACAGTAAAGTATATTTTGTGTTGAATGTTTGCGATCGTATATTTTGTGTTATGAATCACATTAAATTTGTTATATATTTTTATGTAATTTTTATATTTTTATTTATAGATATTTTTTTACTAAAAAAAGTATTTTTTTACTAAAAAAAATATTTTTTTATTATGTGATTTCTAATAATCTTCCCAAGCCAAATTCAAATTTCAAAATAATCTTATGTAATTGACATGGAGTTTTCTTTAAGTGTACTTCATATGTTGTCTGCATATTTAGTTAAGACTTCACATTACACTATTATTTTAATCCTTGGCTTAGGTGATATACATTTGGGTTTAAATCCTTCGTTGGTCTTATTTTTGTATGATAATCTCAGTTAGGTCCTTATATTTGTAATTATCTCAATTAGGTCATATTTTTTTGTAAAATTGAGCCAATTTTGTTAAATTGTAACAAACGGTGTTAGTTGATGCCGACGTGTTGCATAATTAATATGCTGATGTCAAAATATTTTATTACGTGAAATTTTTATTTAATTTAAGAGATTATAACATGGCAATCCTTGGTCGTTTTCTTCTTCTTTGTTTTGATCTTTTATCTGGGGCAAGGAAAGTGCTCGCGATGGCGCAACCAAATGGCATTTACGGTGGCTCGTGGCGGCGTGAGCATTCTTCTTTTTTTCCCTCTTTTTTTTCTTTTTTTTGGTTGTTTCGCGTTGTAAGGAGGAACTTTTTCCCTCTCTTCTTCCTGGTTCTGTTCTAATTAGCGAGAAGGTAGCTGGGAAAAAAAAGAAATTATTTTATGGGTACTACGGAACTGAGAGAGGGTAAGTTGGATTTCTTAAAATATTATAGAGAGAAAAAAAATTAAGAGAAACAATTTACTAGGGGCTTAGATTTTGTATCTCCTTTCTCGAGCGTCAGAGATTTTTCCCCTTTCTCGAGGACCAGAGGCTGCATCTTGTGAGTGAAAAACCTGTTTGCATTGGTGGAAGGCAATGGCTGGTATCTACGCCTTATAGGTGAGCATCCGAGAAAGCCCCATCTCCCAATTAAGGGACAACCCCAAAATGGGGATTTCAAGTGGTCAAAGATCACCTTCACGGTGAAATTGGTGGAATTAGATTATATAATTAGATTATACCCTAAAAGGTGAATTAAATGAGAGTAGGAAGAAATTGGAAATTTTTAATTTGTGATTAAATAAATTGGTACGTAGGATTGTTGTTAAGGTAGCCATGGATACACTATCTTTTTAATTGATCTAGGAAAGGAAATTTTTTGTTACAGTGGCATAAGGTTTTTTTAGTAATTAAGTTTATTAATTAAATTTGAAATCCTAATTGAATAATTAGGATGAAAACCTAAATTGAATTCCTGGTCAGAATCTTTCCCAACCTTGGTTTCTATTATCGCAGACAACCCAACCAACTATGGGTTCTTCTTTCTCGCGGCCAACCCAAATCCTAGATATTACCCTTGCCTTGACCTATGGCAGAAGTCTCGTGGCGGCGAGGACGACGGAGTTGCGAAAGTGCGGCGGAGACGGCGGAGGACCGGCGGAGACACGGCATTGGCGCAACGGCGCATTGGTCTTCTCCTTTTCCTCTTTTCTCGCGCTGGTTAGCGTAGTAGGGGATTTGCTCGACATTTCATCTAGTCTGTCTGAGGCTGCTGCTGCTCCGGGTAGTCGGTGGAGGATGATGAAGACATGGAGATGATGAATAACATTTCCAATTAAATTTCGTGTCATGTATAAACTGTTTATCTAAAAAAAAATCTATGATAACAAATTTTAAGTGTGAGCATTTTAAGCCTACGCCACGTCTAACAGATTTTATAACTGTTTGTTACAATTTAACGATTATGGTAAAATTGGCTCAATTTTGAAAAAAATATGATCTAATTGAGACGGTTACAAATATGAGGATCCAACTGAGATTCTTATACAAAAATGAGGACCAACCGAGGGTTTCAACCTATACATTTTTCACGATTTTTTAAGTGACATTAAATTAATCAAAGTGTATCATATGGACCAGGCGGTCCGAAAGCAGCGTCGAGACTTATGTGACCACCGGCGTTTCTATCTTTTTACTCCTCTGACAGCATTGTCGGGGTGGCTTGCACAAATACTCATTACCCATGGCGTAGCCCGACCGTTCATCCTTCCACTCGGGTGAGTAATTCACGATCTACCGTACGGGCGGTCGTGCAGGACCGGACGATCGTTAAACTGGATCACCAAGACGAAGATTAAGGTAAATAATGATTAAAGCTATTGGGCTGGAATTGGGTCGTGATTAACTTTTCACTAATCCCAAGCCCATAGCCAAAACTATAAATACAGGTCAGAGGTAAGTGGTACGTTGGTTGCATTCACTGCACATTTATTACTATTTCATCGAATCGCCAACAGTTTCCGTATTGACTTTGGCATCGGAGAATCTTTGACTGGTTCCCCTCGGACGGAAGAGTAAACGACGGAGCTTGGAGGGTTACCGAGCGGTTGGAAGATCAATTGTGGGGGAGTGTCGGACGCTGTCGAAACCCTTCTTAGAAGACCAATTGTGTAGGAGTTTGGTGACTTAGCCTCAGATAACCAAAACATTTTGGCGCCCACCGTAGGGCCGAGTTACTTGCAAAACCCAATGGTGACCACGAGAAACATGAGGAGATGCAGTAGAGATGATCCGAATGTTACAGCAGAAGATGGAGGAGATGCAGCAGCGTCATGAGGAGGAACTCATAGCCGTCAGGGCCGAGTGTTTGGCACGCCTTGCCCGAGAAGGCGCGGGAGAAAAGGGGGAGCGAGAGAAGGCCAAGGAGAGAGGCAAGGTTGCCATGGAGGATAAAACCGAACATAGCAGTGGACCGAACAAAACGTGGAAGCCCATAGAGCCGGAGGTCGAGGGAAGCAAAGTTAAATCTGTACACGCGGAGAGGGCCGCAAGGGACAAGCAGTTGGTAGTAAAGACTGAGTCCCCGTCAACATTATTACTCCCCTTCGTCCAAGCAATCATGGACGTCCAGATATCAGAGCAGTTCGTCCCGCCCCAGTTCAAAATATATAATGGGACAACGGACCCGGAGGCCCACATCAAAATCTTTTCGAACGCAATGGCGTTTCGGACAGGCAATGACGCCATTTGGTGCCGAGCATTCTAATTATCGTTGGAAGGGGAGGCGCTCGAGTAGGTTAACTCACTCCCTCCCAATTCCATTGAGAATTTCGCTGAACTGGAACGCTTGTTCAATCGACAATTCGCCAACAATAGTACTCAAGACTTCACCGTCTTCGAGTTGGTCACCCTGAAACAGGGAAAGGAAGAAACTTTAAGAGTGTTCATGGATCGCTACCAGAAAACCATCCGACGAGTGAAGGGCTTGAGCCCGGAACTTTCCCTGCATTACATCCTTCCCGCCCTCAAGCCCGGACCGTTTAAGGACAGCGTCTGCCGACGGGCGCCTAAGACTATGGAAGAGCTGCAAGAGAGGGCGGCAGACGAAATAAGGGTGGAGGAAATGAAGCTATCGTATAAAAAGGAAATCAGGAGAGCAAGGGAGAAAGAGCGGACGGGGTGAAATCGGGTGGCCAAGTTGGGAAGACCGGGGGATTCAAGCAAAGAGAATCGGCCTGAGGGCCACGATTCTAGCAATACATCCCATTGAACGACCCCTGGGAGAAGATTTTCCAAGAAGGTTTAAGCGTGGAGTTAATCCCGGACCCGAAAAGGCGACCCACAACGCCCGGGGCGGACGGTAATAAACACTGCATGTATCACAAGAACACGGGCCACACCACGGAGGAGTGTGTAACCTTGAAGGATAAGATGGAAGAACTAATCCGTGCGGGGCAGCTAAAAAAGTATGTGCAGATTGACCGCCCCCATGCCCCCATAGACCGACCCAGCCCACGGCGGGCCAGCCCTAGGAAACCCGAGAGGCACGGAAGGTCCAGAAACGACCAAACCGATCGTTCGCGATCAAAGAGGCGACGGAGTAGAAGCCGTAGCAGGAGCCACGATCGTCCCCTGCGAGGACACATCAATACCATATCCAGTGGTTTTGCCGGAGGAGGATCTTCCTCATCCGCCCGAAAGCGTCATGTGTGGGCTTTACAATCCGTTCACTCGGTGGACAAGCCACGGAGGACGATGCCCCCCATCACGTTTTCAGATGAAGACTTTCACGTCCCTAATCCTGATCAGGATGACCCGATGGTAATAACGGTGGAGATTGCCCAGTACGGTGTGGGCAAGGTGCTAGTGGACTAGGGGAGCTCAGTAAACATCCTCTACTGGAAGACTTTCCAGCAGATGGACATATCGGAAGACCTAATCGTCCCATACAACGAATAGATCGTAGGCTTTGTAGGCGAGAAGGTAGACACCATAGGTTACGTAGATTTACGCACAAGGTTGGGGACCGGTCGGCACAGCAAGGAGAAGAGGGTTAGGTACTTACTGGTGGAAGCCAATACCTCCTACAACGTACTACTAGGCCGGCCGTGCCTCAATGCTTTTGTGGCGATCGTATCAACCCCCCACCTCACGATGAAGTATCCCTCAGACAAAGGGACAATCTGCACTGTCCGGGCGGATCAAAAAACGACCAGGGAATGTTACACTACAGTCCTAAAAATTCACACCCGCACGGTAAGAAGGAGGACGAGTCGATCCGAGGTGGCCATGGGCGACCTTGACCCAAGGACAAACACGAAAGATCGGTTGGAACCCCTCGGGGAGACGCAGCCGGTCCTAATAGGGAAGGACGCTTCGCAAACCACAATCATGGCTCGGGGGATAGAGCCCGAGTTGGAGCGAGAAATTCGGTCCGTCCTATGAAAGAATCGCAACTTGTTTGCGTGGACAGCCGCTGATATGCCGGGGATTCACCCTCGGTCATGTCACATAAGTTGGCACTATTCAAGGAAATGCGACCAGTGGTGCAGAAGAAGCGGAGGATGGGAGAAGAGAAGAGGAGGAGCCATAGAAGAGGAGGTCGGGAAGTTGAAAGAGGTCGGGTTCGTCAAAGAAGTGACGTATACCACCTGGCTCGCCAATGTGGTGATGGTGAAGAAGGCCAGCGGAAAATGGCAGATGTGCATCGATTACACCGACCTCAACAAAGCTTTCCCAAAAGACTCTCATCCCATGCCGAGCATAGGCGCTTTAGTGGACGGAGCCTCCAGCCACCAGATATTAAGTTTCTTTGATGAATATTCTGGGTACAATCAGATACCCATGTATGGGCCAGATCGGGAAAAGACGACATTCATCACTGAGAAGGAAAACTTCTATTACGAAGTTATGTCATTCGGTTTGAAGAATGTCGGGGCTACATATCAGCGCTTGATGCACCGGATCTTCGCAGAACAGATCGTTCGATGCATGGATGTGTACGTTGACGACATGGTCGTCTGTTCATCTGAAGGATGATGTCATGTGAAGGACCTGGAAGAGGTGTTCCGGCAGGTTAGAAGGTACGGAATGCGCCTAAACCCGGCCAAATGCACGTTCGGGGTAGCTGCGGGGAAATTCCTTGGTTTCATGCTCACTGCCCGGGGTATCGAAGCCAATCCTGACAAATTTGCGGTCGTGTTGGAGATGCAGAGCCCAATCACTCTTAAGGAGATCCAAAGATTGGTCGGCCGACTCACAGCTCTATCGCGATTCATACCCAAGCTGGCCGAGAGGGTCAAACCGGTGCTTCGCAAGATGAAGAAGGGATCCGCCGTCGAGTGGGATGCTGAATGCGAACAGGCATTTCAAGACGTCAAGACCATTATGATGAACCCGCGAGTGATGAACCGTCCGATGCCAGGCGAAGACTTACAGATCCTTCGAGGCGTATCTGAGTCGACGATAAGCGTAGTGTTAATGCAAGAACAACCCGAGCCCAGGCTCGTATACTTCATCAGGCGAACACTTCATGAAGCCGAGATGCGATATCAGCAGGTTGAAAAGGTTGCCTTGGCCTTGCTGAACGCGTCCAGAAGACTTCGACCGTACTTCTAGGGTCACCAAGTGGTTGTTAGGACCAACGTCCCCATCTTTAATATTTTTAGGAATTCGGACCTGGCAAGACGCATGGTGGCATTGACGGTCGAACTGTCGGAATTCGGCCTGCGCTACGAACCGAGAGGATCGGTCAAAGGCCAACATTTGACTGATTTTGCGGTAGAATTACCCCAAGCGATCAATGATGAGTGGAACTTGTACGTCGACGGGGCGTCCGGAAGAACAGTAAGCGGGGCCGACATAGTCCATGAGGTCCCGAACGGATTCTTGTTGGAGCACTCATTGATCTTCAAGTTCAAAGTATCTAACAACCAGGCGGAGTATGAGGCCCTGGTGGTTGGTCTGGAGCTGGCAAGAGACATGGGGGCACGAAAGGTTGTGTGCCGAATGAACTCCCATCTTGTTGTGGGTCAAATGAACGACAAGTTCTAGGTGAAGGAAGAACAGCTCCTCCGGTATTTCCATCGAGCGACTACCCTGGTAAAGTTGTTCGACAAGGTCGATATTCGGCACATCCCTCGCGAGGATAACTCCCGAGCAGACATGTTGTCGAAGTTGAGTTCGTGGAAGGAGAAAGGGAAACTGACGACGATCATACACCAAGTTTTGCTACAACCGTCGATCGAATGCTTGACGATGTCTAATGTTGAAGTTGGAGATTAGCGAGCGGAGATCCGAGCGCTAATGACCCAACAAGATGCAGGACAATCCGTTAAGCCGGCGGAGGCCAGGAAGATCGTTCGTTACCTTATGGTGGGGATGACCTGTACCGGAGAGGATTCTCCACCCCTCTTCTCAAGTGTCTCGGGAAAGAGGAAGCATAGTACGTCATGGACGAGCTCCATAATGGAATTTGTGGTTTCCATACCGGTCATCGGGCTCTGAAGGCCCGGATACTGAGGGCGGTGTACTATTGGCCGACTATGGAAGGAGACACCAAGGGATTCCTCCAGAAGTGCCTTAGCTGCCAGGCCCATGCCAACAACACTCACGCACCACCCCCACCTTGCATACCATAATGTCACCCTGGCCATTCACGCAATGGGGAATGGATATAGTCGGTCCGTTCCCAATAGGCCGGGCGTAGAAAAAGTTCCTCCTCGTAGAGATTGACTATTTCACCAAATGGGTGGAGGCGAAACCCTTGGCGACCATAACGACGTCACAGGTCCAAAAATTCAGCTGGAAGTTGGTGTGTCGATTCGGTCTCCCTTGGACGATCGTCACAGATAACGGCCGACAGTTCATCGATAAGAAGTTGGCCGAGTTTTACAAGGACTTGGGGATTAAGCACGTCACCAGTTCGGTGGAACACCCTCAGACAAACGGTCAAGTGGAGGCTATGAACAAGACCATAGTGGCCGAGTTAAAGAAGCGGTTGGGTGAAAGGAAAGGAGCGTGGGTTGAAGAACTCCCAGAAGTATTATGGGCTTACCGGTGCACACCGCATGGGACGACTGGCGAGACCCCTTTCAATTTAACATATGGCAATAATGCCATGTTACCGATCGAATTAGGAGAACCCTCGTTGCGGTGCTAGATGGCAGACCTTCAACTGAACGATGAAGAGCTAAGGGTGGAACTTGACTCCTTAGAAGAGCGAAGGGACCGGGCGGCATTGAGAGTCGAAGCGTGCAAGCGAATGGTGGAAAGGAAGTACAATTCTAAAGTCCGACCCAAGAACTTCCAGGAGGGCGATCTGGTGTGGAGAAAGACTGGAGGAGCAAGGCGGACGACCACTCACGGCAAACTCGCGGCCAAATGGGAGGGACCTTTTCGAGTGGCGAAAGCACTTGGGAACGAAGCCTACATGCTACTACATACAAACGGACGTCCAAACCCGAACACTTGGAACGCTACTCATTTAAAATTTTGTTTCAGTTAGTCACTTTTGATTGTACATTCTGTTTACTATAATTAATACGATGACAGGGTGTCCCCCAGTTGTGGCAAAGATTTCTACGATAAAGACATATTCCTATAAAGCGTTGAATAAAAAAGAAATCCAAGTTGATGAACGGAGAGTTCTAAACAGAACCACTATCAACTTGGTCGGGCGGTGAACGGAGAGTTCTTCTCGAAGAACCACTGCTACCCGGAATCTACGGAAATCCAAGTTGATGAATAGAGAGTTCCAAACGGAACCACTGTCAACTTGGCCGGGCGGTGAACGGAGAGTTCTTCCCGAAGAACCACTGCTACCCGAAATCTACGAAAATCCAAGTTGATGAACGGAGAGTTCCAAACGGAACCAATGTCAACTTGGTCAGGCGATGAACAGAGAGTTCTTCCCGAAGAACCACTACTGCCCGAAATCTATGAAAATCCAAGTTGATGAACGAAGAGTTCCAAACGGAACCACTGTCAACTTGGCCGGGCGGTGAACAGAGAGTTCTTCTCGAAGAACCACTACTGCCCAGAATCTATGAAAATCCAAGTTGGTGAACGTGGAGTTCCAAACGGAACCACTGTCAACTTGGTCGGGCGATAAACGTTAATAAATGGGAGAAAACGAAGCTAAGACGACCGGTAAGGCCATAATCAGACATTGAAGAAAGCAAATTGTATTGACGAGTAAGGGGTATACAAAAAGTCGGCCATGGGATGGCCCTGCCAACACCTAAACAAGTTAAGATGTTGGACGGCCGGCTACACAAACAAATACGACAAAAAATTTAAAACATAAAAAACCCCTAACTAAGTTGATAAAATCACTCGGCCCCACGACCATCATCAACACCACCGGTAGCATTAGCGTTCTCAGCATCCTCGGCTGCCTCATCGACGCTATCACCCTCCACCCTCTGGTCACCAACACTTGGAGGGTCCTCCATCCCTTGTGGTTCATCCTCAGCGGCCGGGGAGTCAAGATGAACGAGGACCCCATCGAAGACATCCTTCTCGATGTCAAACCCTAGGGCATAGGGCTCCCGGATCCCTGCTAGAACGGACGCCTGAGGGAGAGCTTTATTAAAACCCTCCTCGTGCTCAAACACGATGCCCGCCTCCAGCTCGGACACCTTCTCTTTGGCCTTTGCCAAATCATCTGCCAGTACCCATTTTTTCTGAAGGAGACCGCCCTCCATTTTCTTTTGGCAGGTAATTACCGTCTTTAGCTTCCCACACTCCTCACGTAGACGGTCATGCTCAGCCCGAGCGTCACGAAGCTCATCCAAGGTTTCGGCCAACTTCTGTTTAGCCTCGTCCAACTCGGCCTGGAGCTCGTCGATCTTTTTATCAAAATCATCTTGGGG